CACATGTGGTGCACCTTAGTAGGGAGTGGCAAGCAGATTGCCATACATTCAAGCTTGACCTGGCACGAGCTTTTGAGAGTATCCACAGGGTGCGACCCGCGGAGAGAATCAAACAATGGACAGGTCAAAGCTTTCCTTTCGAAATGAGGTGTATGATTAGATTGCTGGCGAGCTCTGATGTCGTCCTCTCTTTGCCGTGGCATGATGTGTCGATGGTTGCAAATTCCGGGGTGAAGCGGGGGGCCACAGAAAGCCCCGCAATCTTCAGCCGCCTAAGCCTAGTAGACGAGATCCTTTGTTCGATCCAACTCCAGCATGAAAGGGAGGTAGTCGAGGGTATGGGTTGCGACGGCTCGTGCTTCATGGACGATGTTCTTACCTGGAAGCGTGATATCCCATCTTTTCAGAAGTTCGTTGACCAGTTGTTGCCCAAGCTGGCAGTGTTCGGATTGAGAGTGCAACCCTCGAAATCTAAGCTGCTGCGTTTGAGAGGTAACCGTATGGTGTCCCTACGTCTACTTGGATGGGCGTGCTGTTTACTAACCATTTGGAAGATTTCTTGCACACATGCAAGTATGCCAAGCTTGGTTAGCAAGCCGGGTATGTCAGACATAGGCCAGGTAGTAAGGGCGTCAAGTGTAGCAGAGAATGTAGCATGTTTAGCAAGTGGTTGGTCTCAGTTACTGATTTGGCGATAAGCAGATAGTCAGTTTAGCAGAGTTGTTGGTATGTTGACTGGCATAGTTAGCTGACTTAGCGAACACATAGTGTAAGTATATATGGCGCAGTTAGCTAACATTGTCAAGTATGTTTGAAGGCATGTTTTCAGACTATATATGAATTGTGCTTTGCAGCAAGCAAATCGATGAGAGTTTTACCAAACACCCAGCACGCAGCATGATATGCAAATTGTTCATCACGTTCTTCTGAGCTCGCTGGCGTGCAAGTACATGCGTCGGCAGGCCGCGTCTGACTTGACTTTTTTGCAGGGTGTTTTAGGTTGTATAGATATATATATATATATTTATTAACAATCTTGCTGATCCTTGGTCTGTTTTTTTTTCCCCGCGCAGGTGTGTTCTGATGCAAGATATGGTGATGCATGTATAAAGGTGCTATCACGTGCATGTGTGCATGACAGCAAGGTTGATGGCCATGTTGTTTTTTGAAGGACATTCTTCGAAGCTCGCTGGCGTGCGTCATGTATATATGTAGCCGGCAGGGCGAGTGCAGCAGAATAATATTGTTGACATTTGCATGCATGCACCACTTTACATATGTTGAATCGCGCAGCTCCTTTGTGCTCCGTTGTGCCATCCAGTCTTGCGTTGCGTCGGAAAGCCATGTCGCTCTCAGCAGAGGTGGAACGCGAAATTGGTGCCTTGATCGGAGGGAGCAAATATGGCGAATTCTTGGTCGGAAACGTCCAAGAAATTTTCAACATCCTGCGCCGCAACAGCCTCCCCACCACAGTGAGGATTTCTCCAATGGCGGTCGGAGTGCATCGAAAACCGCGATGAAGCGTGCCTGGTGACCCAGGACGTCCATGAGTTGTTGGACAGTATAGTCCAAGTGGGCTTCACCCCCAGCCGCGTCAATCGGGATAGAAGTCGCCAGCGAACAAGAAAGAGAGGCAGCTCGTGATGTCTGCCGGATCACAGTTGGGCCACATGGACTTTGAAACACTTAAGGTGCTGAGCTTGTCTGTGAGCCACACAAATTGGGCGCTGCGGCTTGTGGCTGGCGGCGGGTCCCCGCATCCATCAGAGGTGATCTCAGTCAGCGGGCATGTGTCCCTGGAGCTTGTGGAAAAGCGGGACAAGTGCTTGGCTGAGCACGCCCGCAAAGGCTTTCAATGGCAGGTCATTGCAGCTGAAGTTGGGCGCCGCTGGCCCGACCTTTTGCAGATAATTCAGGCCTCTTGCAACGCAACTTTGCAGAAGACTGAGTTGGAGCTGCAACTCCTGAAGCGTGTGTGCTCCTTGCTCTCCAAAGTCGCAGATGGCAAGCCCGACTACAAGGTCATCAAAAAGTACGCTTTGGCCTCGAAGCTGCCATGCGGCGAGAGCCTTGCAGGCATCTACGCCTTCTGAAGCCACACTGCTTAAATGGCACATATATATCCTATGTAGATGTATATTAATTATCGTATATATAGCGCCCAACTATAACCCCAAACCTTACAGCATGTCTTCCAAGCATGCATTTTTTTCAGGTACAGCGGTGGGGCCAGCGCGTGGATGGTTACTGCAACAGAAAGCTTCGTCAGAGCCAATGGCAACTCCAAATCTCTGGGTCCAGCCTTTTGGGATGAGTTGTCATCAGACACAAAATACCGAGCAGGTCCCATGCTTCGTCGTGCAATTCTGAAGTTGGCTTGTTCGGGCCAAGCCCTGACGATTGCCTGCCTGAGAAAGGCTTTCGGCAAGGATGGCGCGGCCAAGGCTAAGGCAGCAGATGCCGTCATCAGGAAGCTTAGAGATGTCCTGAACGAAGCTCAGCTGGACATCATGGCCGACCCACGATTGCTTAATCTGATTGGTACGACAGAGATGAACATCGCCAGACTGTGTCTGGGTCTTCCTTCGCTGGCGCAGGAGAAGCCCTACCAGAGCGTAGAAGCCGTTGGCCATGACTGCGTCTTGCTCTTCAAGGCATTCTTAGGCACTTCCATGTCCAGGCCATGGGAGTCCCATGCGCAGGAGACAGCCGGACCCAGCTAGCAGCGCAGCTTCTGGTTATTGACAAGATGGGTCCGCGAGACTGCGTGGAGTTCAAGGCGGCATCCATCCTCCGCCACCAAGGCTTTGCTAGCGCGGAGCGGGTCGAGCTTTATTCGGATGCTTTGACCATGGAGCAACCCCGACCCTCACATGACCTCACTGACCCTGCCGTTGTTTCTCGCCTGCGCGAGTTAGCAAATGCCGCTTCGGCCCCCAATGGCCATGTACGACTTTTTGCGACTTCCAGCTGCTAAACGACGGCACTCGCACATTTACTTGCATCAAGCCTACCTTCTTGGGATGGCTAAGAATGGTGTTTCTAGCAGGAGAGAGGCTGTTCCAGCCAGGGAGAGCTAAGAATCATGGTTCTGTTAGGGGTCACGAAGAGGAGTTGATGCAGAAAGCCTGGAAGGCCTGCCTACGGCGCCGCTCTCCCGGCCCCAGAACCTCGCCATCCAGGAGTGGTCCGGCAGGTTCTGTGAATGCCAGACATCCCGGCATCCCCCGTCGCTGTGCGAAAAGGGATGTCCCGCGTGCCTTCAAACGGCACTTTCTTCAATTCAAGGACGTCCAGAATTCTGGTTCGCTTCTTAACCACTGTCATCATCAGCCTGGTGATGCCGTTCGCATGGGTTGGAGGCCCAAAAAAATTTGTGGCTTGGAGCGCGGCCGCTAAGGCCCCATGGTCCCGACCCATGGTTCAATGACACGGCCAGCTATGACTCGAAATATGGATGACGGGATGGTTTTGGAACCGTTGGTAGGGAATCGGGTCTACCATTCACTCGCATGTTTGGAAATGACCATGCTGGCCATCTAGGGCCCCAAGGGGGTTAACGTCGAGAAGATGGCCGAGGAAGGGGAGCCTTCAGGCACCCAACTCCTATGGCGCTTGTGTATGAACTTCGACCAGCGGATCATCAGCCTCCCAGAGCCAAGCGGATGAAGGCGAGATACTTAATGGCCGAACCGGCCCTTCAATGGGGGCAGCGGGATGTTCCCCTTCGCCTCCTCCAAGAGGTCGCAGGCTGTGCCCAATATTGGTCGATGGTCTGTCTGGAACTCCTGCCTCGACTACCCGTGCTCTACCCGCCTATGAACAGCCAAAGTGGGCGCACCGCCCTTGAGCGCTGCTTCACGCCATGAAGGCCGGAAAGGAGGTTCCCTCCAAAACCGCTAAGATTGGCCGGAATATGCCCTCCAGTCAAAAGCGCGTAAGGAGAGCTCTTGTGGCGGTTGGAGCAGCTTCGTCGGCGCGGTGTTGTGCCCACTAGAGAGGAAAATGATCAGGCCGTCAATATCGAGAACCTGCTTGACTATTTTGAGGCCAGTTTCTAAGGGTGGAGCTGCTTCTCAAACGGGGTCCCCCCCAGCGAGATACGACGCGACTGATGGGCTCCCAGAGGAGGAGTGCCCTCGCTCAAAAGCCAAAGGCACGGCCCCATGTCCCACCTTGGCGGCCCCCCGCTGCGGCGGACTCCTGGAGGAAGAGATCTGCTTCGATGGCGATTATGCCGACATGCCGCCGGACTATACGACCACTAAGCAGGCGGCCGACGCGGGCGGCTCGCCTTGGCAACATCGGCAACGCGGGAGGAAAACACGCATGTGTATGGTTCTACTTTTGTCATTCATTTGCTCTTGGTGCATTTAGGGTTTTCGTTGCGTGTATGTATGTGTGGAAGTATATTTGTACCGGGGGTAAACAACATCGTCCTTCTGCATTTTGCCTCCTTTGGGCTGACCCGACACAATTCAGAATTACAACCATTTGGTATAAGTTGCCACCACCCTGGGCTTCCACATCAGTATTGAAACGTTGCGATTGCTGCCTGCCTCAAGTCCCATGCCCATCATGGTTGCGCGCTGCGTGCACCGGCTCCCTTGTCATACGGACCGGGCCGCCTCATTGCCTGTGCTGATTGAGCACTCGTTAATGGAAATTGATGGGGGCCTCGTGCTGCGCAGCTTGGGGTGGGCTTTGCTATGCATAGCGTGGATGGACGTGCATCAAGACCACTTCAACTTGGCTTGAAACTTGAAAAGGCAGCGCAACACAGTCGCTTTTAAAAAACACCCAAAATGAACTACTGCACCACAACCAGTAGTCTTCGCGCGATTTGGTGATTAAATCCTGCAAAACGAAGCAGTAAACGTCAGTAACCCTAGAAAAATAGAGGTCAACTTCCACGTCAAAATTCAACTTGTCGATTCTGCGTTAGCCTTTAGCTCATTTGTTTCAGCAGCAAAAATGTGCACAATCCCATCCTAAACCAGGTTGCTGCAGCTTCTCGAGACATGGAGCGTCGCGGAACACGTCTTCAAGAAGCTTTGGTTTATTGGCGTGCCTCAGAGACAACTTCTAGCGTTTTGATGGATTGTTTGTGAATCTTTTTGCGCCCAACGTGCCCAACAGCAAGGGGCATTCGTGGCAGACTGCAACCGGCTGAGCATTGGCCACGCCGACGACCACGCAGTTTTCCTCCATGACCAGGCTCACATGTCATGTTGCGTCCATTGGCTGCCCATATGTGTGGATGCAGGAACACGCTTCCCACGATGCGGCTGCAAGGCGTGATCAAAAAATTGCTCGGCACAAGAGGTGTCAGGAACTGGATGCCAAAGTCAACTATTTGTCTTCCGGCACCACGCTGTGTACACATCTGGTGCTGGTGAGAATGGTCAAGCGCCGTGTGGAAAGCATGAGCCTGAGGTTTGCCAAGAAGCGCGAATGTTCTGGGGATGAATATTTCTGGGGCGCTGGTAGTGCATTTGATGAGGAGATGGCCCTCCGGCAGGTAAGACTTTTTTTTGCGGGTGACGTTCGTGTTGTTTCATTACATGTTGGCAGCATGAAACATGTGAGGAACGCAATCTGATCATGTTGTTGCTGCGCAGAGCAATTGCTTCAGAGCCTGGGCTGCGAATTCTTGAGCTTTCTTTGTTGATGGAGTAATTAAACACCCGGTCGAACATTTTCAACGCTGCTTGTTGCCTTTGCAGAAACTTGGACCCGTCCAAAAAGCGAAGCCACGCATACCACAATGGCAATTCTTGCAGGTGTGGCGGCTGGATGTGATCATTTTTTCCAACAAATTCTGCCATGCAAAAGTGCGTTTCTTGTTTGTCGTGGGCAGCATTTGAATGGCACTTGGCCTGCGGTGGTGCATTTGGCAAGGGGTCTTTGGGCTCTAAAGGCGCTTACGTGCTTCTTCATTGTCAGCTCCCCGTTGTTTTTATTTGTATGTTGCCCCGCCGCACCAGGCCATCAGCTTCTGTCTTTACCAACGCGTCTTTTCTGGTGAGTGATCGTGATCCTTTCGTTGGAAGAGGGTTTCAAGTTGCAACAGTCTGATTCTTTACGGAAGGTGCACAGGACAGAGGGGCTCAACACACGTTTTTCGGATGTCAATGTACACTGCGATCTGTACACTCGAGCAATCCGAGCTCAGAAATGGTTTTGGAAGCTTTCGCCGTAGCCCAAACCATGTCCTCTGCCATTTCAATTTGTTGCTTGCCAGCTGAAACTGAACACGCTCGCCAAACTGATGCACGTACCAGCCCTGGCTAAGGGTTTGGGCGCATGAGGCCTGAGGCTTTTAGGGCTTGGGTCTTGTAACACCAATTTTCACATTGCGTATGCAAGAATTCTGTGGCTTCGAATTTTGGGCAGAGCAAGCAGCGCCTTGCCAAGCTTGGGTTCTGAGGACAGACTGGCTAGGTGGCTTATTGACAGCAAGACGGTGCCATTACAAGCTGTTTCGCGGCAAAATGGGGTTTTCAGCCATTCAAAGCTTCCCAACAGAAACTTGGAACTGACTTTGGCTTACACACGTATACAAACAATGACAAAGGACAGGAACAGGCAACGGTACAGATGCATGCAATGCAGCCGAGAAACATGAAACCAACGAAGGAAATCCCAAAGTTACACAAACTGCATGCATCCATTGTGGTCCATGTGAGACTGTGTAGAGTGTCAGGGAGGAGGAAAAGCCACAGTAGGCTCCAGATTGCAGGGAAAGCACGACTCAGCAAGGTGCCGGATAATGTTGCTTCAGCAGAACAAGAATTGCCCTTGTTAGAGATGATGGTGGCCTGTCGCTTAGTGCTGTTTCGAGAGTTGTTACGTAATGCCTCACTGATTCCGAGACTTGGAACACAAGCCTGAGGCGCGGGGAGGTCCTGGTCAGGAAGCAAGAAAGTCAACGCGTTCCATTCGGAAACCTGCTTGCGTGCGAATTCAGGCCATGCTGAAGCAATGACATGCCCTAGCTGCAAGTGTAGAAAACACCATCAAGCAGGACAAAGCAGAACTGCAAAGACTATACAGGGAGATGGCGCGAACCCTACAGCCCGTATCTTATCTGCCTCCTGCTTCGAACATGCATGATGCGCCAAGGTTTTCCAATGCCCGCATCCTCTAGCCACAATGTCTATAGAGGAAGCTGCAGACCTGGAGATCCAGGAAATGCAAGAGCTCGAGGCTTGCAGATGGAGTGGCAGTAGTTGACACAAACTTAGAAGCAGCTGGCAGATGTTGCAGGCTGCACGCGCAAGGCGACAGCTTGAGGAAAGGGCACGGGAAGCTGACAGATGGTGGGCTTTGAGCATGCAAAGGGCCCTTGGCACAGCAATTCCTGTACCTGCTGCTCAATCTCGGAGGTGGGATGGAGACCGGTACGGAACTCAAGAAGATTGGGAAGAAACCCAAAAGCTGCAAGCTCAGCGGCAATTGTTGCTTGCCCAGATTGCCATGCATTTATGCTGCAAACTTCAGGTTGTACAAGGATCGGGAGGCTGGACTGCACTTAGACTACCCTACCCTGCGATTTGTTATCAGTTCTGGTGGTTTCTTTTTCACAAGGCCATGGTGTCTCTAAGGATTTTGACGAGTTCAAAGATGACCACCCGTGGGGGTCTGGAAACAAAATGGCAAATATAGGATAGTGGACAAGTGTGCTCCCTGCTTGCGCCGGGTGACCACAGTGAGTGTACAGATGCCAGCCAAGAGTTTGAAAATGCAGTTTTGCCGCAACTCCATGAGCATCCCCTGAGTTGCCTGTAGCAGATGATTTCGCAATGAGGTTGGCGCATGGTTTCTTGCAGAGGTTTCCATCGCAATAGCAGCCACATGTGATTTTGACCGTGTTGACGGCAGCCTGGTCTCATCAAAGGACATGTGAAGTGACTGAAGGTGTGCCGGCAGTATTCTTTTGCTTGTGCTTGGAGGAATTTCGAGAACAGTTTCGGACCGGCCCGCTAAGCTGCTGCCTTGGCACTTGTAATGCATGCTCTTTGATTGTGGCCGCAGTGGGGGAAATTTTCAGTGCTCCTGCCGCATTTGTTCACTTGCCCCACTTCGCTTTGTGGCAAGTGGGCAAGTGGGCAAGTGGCACCGACAGGGCAGTTGGAGCAAGCAGGGTGCAACCAATACATATGCCCAGTACCGGCTTTTTAACCTTGCATCCGGAGCTACCGGCAGGTGCGGGCAAACCAGTGGTGTTTGAGAACGTGCGCCATGAACTTGGCCTGCCCTGTACTAGTTGCACGGAGATGTTTGTTTTGCAAAACTGCTCGCCGGCTCACAGCAATCCTCATGGAAGTCCTTGGCCATGTGCAACTGTCCGCTGGTGAGGGTGACGTTATCCGAATTGCACAAGTCACGGATGTGCACTGCTTCCCTGAGAGCCTCAAGTATTGGGATTCTCCAAAAGGTCGGACGATTCATTTGGCTTCTCCCTACAGCAAGACTGGTCACATTGAGCTGCTAGATGCTGTTCTCAACCGGTGCAAGCCGCACTTCGTCGTGTTTACGGGTGACATCATTGATGGCCGCCCCTTTTCGAGTAGCGATCCGTCAGGGTGGAGGCCAACATTTCAGAAGCTGCTAGAACCTGTGCATAAATTGGGGCCCTTCGGCGCCGAGTTTATGTGGCCAACGTAAACTTTTGCTTGCAGGGTCCCATCTTGGGCGCCCCAGTTGAGGGTTCAAAATGCTCAGCCCAGGCTGCCCTGGACGTATGTTCCTGGAAATCATGACGACGACCATGCACCATGGAGCAGGGCAGACTTGCTCCAGATATACGAGCTTCCGGGCTGTGCATCGCGGGGGTCGACAAATTTCAACCACACCCTCACGTTAGGCCCGGGGCACAGTCCCAATCCAGCAACATCCTTGCGACTGTGGCTCTTCGTGGCCTGGGTTTTGATTAGCACTTTTTGCGCAGATGCCACAACACCGTTGTACCCTGCGGGCAAGTCTGTGGAGACCAGCAAGGTGTCAGCCCTCTGCCAAACCTGCATACCAAGGACTCTGGAGGAAACAGCCTTGATCCTTCAATCGGAAGCACAGCTGCATCGTAGAATCATTTTTTTTCACTTTGCATGTTCTGCCGTGTTGCACGCGAAGACAACGCTGGAACCCACCAGAGTTTTTCTTCAGTGAGCCCGAACAAGCTTCAATACCCTCAAGGGTCCTAGTTGTTGTCTTTTCCATGTTGACATGATTTTTAATGGTCATTGTCAGAACACGCCTGCCTCGCCTGGCTTAAGCTTACCGGCCACTGTGAATCTTACAGGGTACGAAACTATTGGCGCTGATGCGGTCTCAAAGTTTCAAGAGCTTGCTGCACAGCTGACGCCGTGTCCGTCCTTAGCATACTTCCACATTCCGCTTCTTGACTGATTGAGGCTTCGCTGCCATGATAGCGCATCCTGTGGGAAAGCGCTCGCTAGTATCTCCACAGCTTCCCATCCATTCTGCAGAGTCCTTAAATAGTTTGGTACAAGTACGAGCCGTTTTCAGAGTTCAGCAAAGTGTAGCTCCGCCAGGTGGCCTGCGAGCACCTAGCCGTAGCTGCTATTGAGAAGGCATGCCCCTCAGCTGACAAGTGAATCTGGTAATGCCGTTTTCCAAGGTTGCCAGAATATGGTAATTTGGTGCCTCTACACGGCACTCAAGGGTTGTTCGACGCGGCGATGCAGGTCCCTTGGCAAAGTGGCAGAGTATGGCTGCGGTGCTGCTTGATTCCTCACGCCCCGCTTGATGTGGCGTGCAGTGGCTTCTTTGCATGGCATCGTCAAGTATAGCAGAAGAGGCCAACATGGTTCCTCGGCCGTGGAGCTGGATTCCGTGGATCGTACGAGCGCTGGGTAAACATCGCGTAGTCGGCTGCTCCAAGCTCAACAGTGGATACTTTACAGACATTTTTTAGGGCTGAGATGATTCTCTTTGCATCTTGCGCTTGGTTATGAGTTGGCGGAGCTCTTTGTGCAAGGATTGTTCAGCGCCCTTTTGAGTGCGCATGGTCCTGTTTTGGCTACATTCTGCGGCCACGATCATGCTAATGATGTGCCTTGGCTCTGCATCAGACATGCTGGTGAAGGGGTTGCTTAGCAAGCATTTTTCTGGGTCGCTTAGCAATTTTTTTTTGGTCGCTTGGCACGTCTTTTTTTTCTCGCCTGACGGCAGCCATGTGGTTCCTTGAGTAGTCAACCTGACACCCAAAACCTTAGAGCCTAAACCTTAAACCCCTTCCTAATTCCCCTAAACCTTACCGCCTCGTGAGCCATAGCCTGGGCGCGCTGCGGCAGAGAGGCGAAGCGGGGGCGGCCAGTAGTCCACCTCCTAAGGGGCGATTCCGCTCAACCAGCGGGAGCTGGCGGCCAGTACTAAGAGCATGAGGGAAACGAAAGGACGAGAGGCTCGCTGAGATTGCGTCCCTGCCAAGAAAGGAGCGGGAGACCTGGATGCGGTTTCTATGGGCGCCCTTCGAGCACTACCTGCGGAGCAAACCAGGGACATAAAGGAAAGTCACAAGGTAGACATCGCAGAATCGATCCATGCCACGGAGCGGAAATTTGAGGAAGCTCTCGGGGGAGTCCGAGATGGCCTGCAGAACCAGATCCTGAAGAACCAGGCAACGGTGCAGGAGCTCCAGAAAGGCCAGGCGCTCATGATGAGTAGAATCCAGGCTCTGGAGAGTGGACCTGCCAGAGGGAGGTCAGGCCTGCAGATGCACCCGGAAAGGCGGCCCGCATTGATCTGGGGGGGGCTGGCGGGAGGACACTCGTCGCCGGGTGATCTTGCAAGATCTCTCCAATGCACTGGCTGACACCGGAATGGCGGACAAGCTGGATAGCCCGGCTTGGGCTCCCGCTGCGAGACACAGTATCGCACTGGCGGAGATGGCAGTCAGAAATGGCGGGGACGAGGCAGGCTTTCGCACCAGAATGCTTTCCGTGGTGGACGCCATTAATGCAGCTGCGATTCGGTCTGAGAACTTGAAGCCTGATAGCCCGCTGTGGTGTGCCATCTCGAGGCCACGGCAAGACAGAGGCAGTGGAGTTCACGCTGGCAAGATAAGGAAGCTCTTGCACATGGCGGGGGTTAGCATGCAGACGGTCGACTGCTCGTACCGCGATGGCACAGTCTCGGTTAATGACCAGATCGTGGGCTCAGTGGCGCGTGTGCGTCCCCCAGCAGAAGTCCTGGAAGGAAAGCTGCCGGGGAGTTGGGTGGACGTCAATAAGCTCGCTGAGGTCATCAACAAGCCGAAGGCAAGCTTGGTTAAGTCCTGGGAGAATATCACCCTCATGTGGGGGAACTGACCGTGGAATGAGGGACACGCAGAGCTGAATAATTGGCCGGTGCGCTCCTTGGCCAGTGCGGCGCCTACGAGACAAGTTCGTGGTCGCCATGCGGGATTGAGGGGTAAAGGCATGCATGTTTTTGACGAGATTGTCACAGAGACTGAAGTGACAATAGGCCGAGGTCTCCAGTTTTTTTCCACACTTGCAAGTCATCATCGTGTGGTCTACTCTGAAGGACTCGGACCAGATGAGCGTGGCCCAAAAAGCAAGGTTGAACCGTCGCATTGCAGTCCCGCACCAGGGGACACAGAGTTGGTTGGCAAGGATGCACATGTTCCTGATCATGTTCCAGTTTTACTTGGTGAGAATGATGCACATGTACCCGAGCATGCTCCAGATGACAGGCTGCTTGGAGAGAGAAGAGTTCATGTGCATGCAAGCAGGAAAAGGGAGGGGATCCCGGGGGCCAAGTTTGTTCCTTGGCGTGCAGATGAACTACCTGACAATGAAGGTCCTGACCTTGCAGTAAGGGATGTGCAGCCAGCAGAAATGCTTCTCGAGGGAAAGGAGCCCGTGGAGAATGTGATGGTGCCGGTCAAGGTAGGGTCGTGGAACCTAGCGGGCGCGTCCACTAAGGCTGTGAAGGTGGTGCTAACCCATGTCTTGGACTATGATGTTGTTACGTGTCAAGAGTATGCCAAACAAAAGGAGGCAGGATGGCAGCTTCTAAAAGGAGATGACTTCCATGGAGTGGTGCACCAAAACTACATCATGTACAGGTCCCTTGCCATTTTCTACAGGAAAAACAAGTTCCAGCTATTTAAGAGACGCCAAATGGTAGATTCCCCCAAAAAGGGGACCCCAATATAGACCCCAAAATACTATAATCCTTCATATGGGGACCCCCAAAAGGGTACCCTAATTTTGGGAAACTCCCAAATGGAGAGACGGCTCTGGGTTCAGCTGAAGCACGTTGAGAGTGGCAAGCTCGTGTGGATAGGATGCTGTCATTTCCCCAACAATGAGCCAGTAGAGGAGCTTGCGCGAAGCTGGACAAGCTCCGCGCCGACTTGGAAAATCAGATCGACGAGGACAGAACGGAACAACAGGACAGCGTCAACCAAAGATCGGCTGGAGGAAGACGTCGGGATCGAGATGTGGCCCCCTTGCCGCTGTTCGGAGGCGGGGGGATAGCCAGCAAAGATGATGGCCGACTTTCAGCGCTGATATTCGGAGGCCTGCGACTCCTCTAGGAAAATGGTCCGGAGCACACAGGGCAGCCAAGCCGTACGCCCTCACAGTCTGTGAGGCAGGCCTGGCGAAGGGCCCGGGGCCAGCGCCTCCTCGAAGATGTT